AGATGGTTGGATTCTAATGTGCCGTGAAATTTCTTTATCTGCTCTTAAGTAAGTCTCATGCAATCATGAATATATCTGAAAACTTGGATTAGAGGCAGAGAGAGTTATTGCAGAGAATTTCCTCTATGAACCTAAAATCATAAAATGCCTGAAGCCATGAAAGCTAAATAATTATTATAGTCATTTTAGCTAACCTGGGTTAAAGAAAACAGTTGGGGGAAGAAAGCTCAAGAGTGGAGTTGGAGACACAGGGAACCTACCCGCATCCAGGGTGTAGAGCTAGGCCCCTTCTGCCCCTTCTTTTTCTACCCCCACTACCATCAGATGCCTTGTCCCCTGTATATTCTGGGATTCCCTCTACTCCACACTCTCCCTTCATCTTAACATGGGATTTCCTGAGCTTCATATTTCGGCTGCTTCCAGCCATTTGGCAGCTGGGATAGTAACAGCAGCCTGTGTGTTGTTGGTAAGAAGGAAAGGGGAAGGGGAAGGGGAAGAGAGAATGGTGGGAAAGACTGACTGACGGGAGATGGTGAGTAGAGTAACTGGGTCACCACAAAGCAGAGTCTTCACATTGGGAAGTACAGTCTCTTTCTGTTCTCATTTGTGAGTTTTTTCAGAAGGCAAAAACTTATAAAATTGTTCAGCTTCATTAACAATTTTACAAACTATTTACTATTTTTGTTATTACTGTACAACATAATGAATCCTATGGATATCTACTTAGGACTGCTTGAGCTTAAACCAGTAGAGGACATGATTGATGGTCTAGGGCAGTGACTCAACTGATTTCCTTGTCTTTAGTAGAAATGACGGTGACACAGGATTCTAGAAAATTACTTACATGGAAAACACAGAAGATTCCATGTTTTCCTTCTTCTGGGTTTTTAATCAACTTAAAACAAAGAGCTAGGTTAAGAGCCCAGAGTTCAAGGGCACCCTCTGTTACTAACCAGCTGCTTAACCTTGCATAGTCACTTCACCTCCCACTCCCCAGCCTCACCATCCTCATCTGTAAACGGCTTCTGTCTGGCACAGTATCTATTTTTCTAAATATGTCTTGTAGTAAATAAAAACCAAGGTTCTGATTTGAGTATTATAAATCACTTTTAGTGTATAAGGGAATTTGTAAAATACTGTACGCTCTAGCTCTGCCTCTTCTGCCTTCCTGTTTCTGTAATAAACACGTGTCAGTTGCTTAGCTAAATAAAAGTCTATTTTCTCATTGCAGATAAATAGAATTTACCAGTCCCTGGATGAAGTGCTTGGGAAGTCTTCAAATGCCATAATCAACTGCCATTTCAAAGAAAAAAGTAGATGCTTTTGAAAAGTTCATGCTGTTTCTTCATTGAATTTTAGGTGAGTGTGTCTGAGACAAAGAGTTTAAGGTGGACATTGAACTATTTCCTCTCAAAGTGCTTCTCTCATTGCATGAAAAGAAAATGGGGTTGAATATCATCAACGTTTTGTACCTTTAGCGAGGTATCAGACAGTGAAAGATTTAGTTTCTGGGCCTTTTGTTTGTTTTCTTATTGTTATCGGAGACCATTTGTACTATGAGGTGTGAGATATAGAGATGGCCCTGACATCTCGTCCGGTTTCCATTAAGCAAATGCCATTATACTTCATTCTATGCTAAAGGTCATCTAATTTTTAAAATATATTAACGTATTTAATATCAAAGTAATAAGCTAAAATGAGACAAAACCATGTTTTAATGGCATAAACTAGAGGAAAATTTGATGGTAGTAATGGCAGTTTAATCATTAACAAGTCTCTGGGTGAGAAAAAGGCCGCCATTTCAGAGGCTGCCCATGGAGAGATTTTATGCTTAAATTAAAGTAGGGCATGGTTTCAGTTAAGTGCAGTTTCTAAGCTGCTGTGTACAATTAAGCACACATGCATGCTCACACACATTAAGCTTTGTTTTCCTGGCCATAAAATGGATGGATAAGTGTTTTTTATCTCATCGTACATAATTACCCTTTCATACTCCAAAGACATGGGCCTGCAAATTTGTACTTTACAATTGGTCTGCAGTATGCCATTGTCATTTCACAGCCGAACAGAGGAATCGAGGAATTGAGTGGTGGTCTTCTTGAAATTGTGTGTCTATCCACTTCCTCCTGAGTCTAGCTTTCAAAGAGTGGGTTTATTATCTACTTTGAAGAATGGTGATTTCCCGAGCATCAGACTAAATCACTGTTCACAATTCTGAATGAAACGCCAGTGACAGAGCATTGACCACTGTCTAAATCTAATCCATGGGACAGTGGTGCTTTCTTTGTACTTTTGATTCACTTCAAAATGAAGGTGGATAATTCTCTCATGATCTTAAGGGTGTGTAAGTTCGGTTTCTTGGGATTGTATGTGGAACTAACATGGTGATTTCATTTGTTCACAAGATATTGGTTAAATGCAGTTCCCAGGAGCTAAACTTAGTGCCCTTTACAAATATCAGTAAATCAATTTGTCTAGTGTAACATTACTCTGGAGAAGAAAATGAAAACGGAAAACTTACTTAACTCTGTATTTTCCTATTGTGCCTATGTGTACCTGTTTTTTATCTTCGCCCCAATTCCTTGCCCTGTTCCTACTCTGCTGGTTCCATGGAAGCTGCCCCTGTTGGCTGGTTTTTCAGCCCCCACACCTAGCATCCAGCTTGCCC